ATCAAAGAGTTGCCCTTTTGCAGAAAGCAGGGGGGGATCCCTCTTCACGAATACAAATAAAACAAATTTCAGTTGCTAAAATTATAATTTTAACTTTCCCATACATGTCCTCCCTTCTATTAAGCTGGTGGCGTCTGTGGCTTAGAGAAATGTTATGACTACTGCAGAGCAGTTCCATAGTATTTTACTGGTGACTGTAAAATCAGACGGGGTTTACTACTTTCCTGATGTTGCACTTTTTAAAAAAAGAGTAAAGGTAACATTTTAAAACTGCAGTGGAGGGTGAAGTGCTTGTTAAAGGTAGTATTGTGCCAGTTTCAAGCCTTTTAAGAAAATCTTTTTAAGGTCACCTATTAAAAAATATTATTTTTCTTTAGTTCCTCATAGTTTCTTTTTCCTGTCTTTATTTTATACCCTTATATATACTTCTAAAGTGTCTTAATGCCAAATACATTTTAATTCCCTACCTCCCATAAAACCTTTGGTGGAAGGCATTCATATTTTTACTTCAAGTCAATTAAACTTTCTGATCCTCTTGTTTTAGATTACAGCATCAATGTGCATATTTATTCTCTGCTGTGACATATGTTGCATACTTGGCTTCAAGAGGAGGACTTGTATTAGTCATTTATAGCAGAACCAGAGTTTTACGGCATTGTGAGACTCACTTCTTTCTTACAGCATAGTTTTTCCCATGTTCAAAAAATATATATACAAGTCCACAAAAAATTATGCCACAGTAGATTCATTAGTACCTAGGTGTCACAAGACTGCTTGTTGTTTATATGTGACCCATTTCTCAAGAATTGGAATCAGAAGCACGAAACATTGGCGGTCAGATCTAATGCCCCTTTTGACCACGATAGTCTAGATTTACACCGTGCCAAATTTAAAGTTTGCCAGATTTCGAGAAAAGCTAAATAGTTTATAGTTTGGGACATCAGTGTATGTCTAAAGTAATAATTGTGTGCCACCGTCAGCTCTGACTTACAGTGATCCTTTTCAGGGTTTTACAACTCCCTTCTTCTGGGGCCGCCCTGGGACTCTCCTGCTTGGCCCAAAGCTGCCCAGGCTAGCTTTTCTGGGAGGATCTCAACTCCCAACATCTGCAGCCAGAGACCTAACTCAATGAACTACCCAGCCCATTACACAAATATATACATATATACATACTTGGAGATGAGTGTGGGGCAAATGCTACGAGACTTCTTAAACTTGATGTCCTTTAAAGCTTAAGTGTGCTTTAATTCTGCCTGGTTAAACAGGTGGGGACTGGAAGTGTCGGTTCTGGCAGGGGGACCTCCTGGCGGTCCCCTTTGTGGGTTGGTGCCCATATTCCTTTTGCACCTTCCTCTTCTCAAAAGGGTACCTTTTTAGCCGTTAATATTTCTCTCCCCCCCTTTGGTCAACCCAGTGTAGCCTGCCCCTCCCCGCCCAACCCAACCCAACCCACTTCCTGCACTTGTTCTTAGCTGTTCATCCAGACTGGTTAAAGCGATATTTAGCCAAGGCTGAAGAACAGATACAGCAGAACCCTTCAGCTGTGGTTCAGCTTTTGTTCTCATCTCTATTGGCCAGGCCGGCAGGTGGTGAAGGGTGATGGCAGAAATAGTTCACCGAGAAAAACATTTTCATGGGACCGATAAGACAAGTGTGCTTTATTTGACATAAACCATCAACTCTATCCTACTTCTTAACCCTTGACAGTCCATGCCCCATAGAACGTTCAGGTGCCCTAAGACAGTGTCTCTCCCCCTCCCCCCGTGCAACTGGATGGACTCACACACCTACCCCCTTGATATTTCATGATGGGCTGTAGTAGTCACGAACTAGTTGAAATGGTCTGAATAAGCCTGTAAATAGGCCTCAGGATACCTTTGCTCGCCATACTTGGGAGGGAAGTGGAAGTGATCAATGATGTATCTACTGTGTGAAGATTTTGTTGACGTGCGGCTTGGGAGGGAAGCGGAAGTGATCAATGATGTATGCCAGCTTCAGTCATAAGCTCAAACAGGCCAATAAGCCAAACAAAAAGGCAGTGGCTGGAGAGAAACACAGCCAGCCATCAGCATCCTAAGCATTAACTGCACAAAATGCCAGCTTCAGTCATAAGCTCAGACAGGCCAATAAGCCGAACAAAAAGGCAGTGGCTGGAGAGAAACACAGCCAGCCATCAGCATCCTAAGCATTAACTATGGTTCAGGGGCAGGTATGGTTTTTCCTTTTCCCTTCCCCTCCCCACTTCCCTTCCTTCCTCCCTCTCCACCCCCCCCAAGAGCAAACCAGAGCATGGGCAAGAAATATCACACAGTAGAATTTGAATCCCGATTTTCTTCTGTGTGAATCTACGACGGAGGCCGATGTGGCCGCGCATGTAACCTACACCTCCCCGTCAGCTGTTTCCTCCTCGGCCGCTGACAAGGGCCCCATTCATCATGCTTCCTTTTATCCTTTGGGTGAATAAGTAATTATTCAATATAGAGAAGGCAGGATATTTGGAACTGGCTATTTAATGTGGCAGCACACCGTAATGAAATCTGCTGTTACTGGCAACCTGAGAGAGGAATGTAACAATTCTAGCACGGCCGGTAACTTTATCTGCTTGGACGGCCTGTTTGTTTGGCACGTCAGCCAGCCTTTTATCCCCGTGAGTGACAGCTCCTGAAGGGTTGCATTTACTTCCATTCTATTGCGTATTGTAATATTTAATAGTGGACAAGCTTGAGTGGGGACGGAGGGTAATTCGAGCCCGCTTTTCCACAGGACGAAGGCCAGGAGACAGTTGATCCCTGCTTTTGTGGCATGATGCACACAGTGACTTTGCATTTGCTTATGATGGATAATCTTACTGATTACAATTAAGGGGGCTAAAAAAGAGAGAGGGAGAAAGAAATTGTGGAGCTGACAAAAACATTTGTGTTCCATTCCCTGTGTCATCCTGTCATTTTTTTTAACACTGAAGTGACTACGCTGGTTTTGAATTTCTTATATTTATTATATTTGCTTTAGTACACAGAACTGTTCAAATTGTGCTCTGGTTCCTCCACCCATTAAAGATCAGTTTCCTCTTTACAAAAAAATTATTCAAAGTGTTGAGGTCTAAGTGGCAAAGTAATTAGTTATTTTATCCCATCCATAGTCACCTTAATTTGATATTCTTTGCTGTATTCATTAAAAACAAGCGGGAGTTGCAACATTTTGCAAAGCATTATCATTCCCTTTCAGGATTTCTTCTACAGTATTCCTGTTTGTTTATTATTTATTTCTTTATTATTTGATATATTATTTGGTATATTATTTTATATCACCTCATCAATGCGAACATTCTCTGGGCAGTTCACAGTCCGTCAAAAAACATAATTACAGTCATACAAGCAAACCCACAAAAGGCAATAAATGCAATAAAACCCCTCTCTAGCGGAATTAATTTAAAAAAAACACCTGAATTTAAATAAATTAAACAAATTTGAATTAAATTTGGGGATCGGAACATAACAAATTTGAAGATCCCAGGCCAATTAGTTAAAATGCTAGTAAAATGTAGCTTTGCACAGTTTGATTTTAATTAACTTCCGGAAAACTGAGAGGGAAGGCACCTGGCAACGCTCTGCAGGAAGCTTGTTCCAGAGAGAAGGAACCACAAACGAGAAAGCAGGTTTCCCAATTTTGGCTCTTTAGGCCTCTTTAGATCTCATGATTTTTAGCCTCCAGGACTGCAGGGAGTGAGTGGGATGGATGGGTAGCTATTTTATGGGAGAGACTTTCTGACAAGTATCAAGATCCTAAGCCATTATGCGCTTTATAGGTTAAGAGCAGCACCTTGAATGCTTGTATCCGCTGATACCTGTAATCAGTCTGGCTGCTGCGTTTTGGACCTGATGAGGTTTCTGTACCAACTTCACGGGCAGCCCTACGTAGAGACCATTACAGTACTCTATTTTAGAGATTACCAATGCATGAACCACGGTTGTGAGGCGTTTCTTATCCAGGTAGGAATGCAGCTGGGCAATCAGCCAGAGTGGATAAATGGCCACAGCAGATATTTGCACCTCCATAGAGAGAACTGGCTCCACTTTTTTAAAAAAAAAACTTTTTTTAAAAAGACAAAAATACGTGGGCAGGCATTTACCTAGCAGCAGGGCTTCACCGATGGAGCTGTATTTTTTTAATAAAATAACATTTACAAGTGGAGAATTTAACAAAATATCTCTCTTTGATAACTCCTTAATAAACAGAATTGCTTCAAGCCCTTAATGAATTCAGAATTCCTTTTCTTTCATTTGTCAAAATCCACTAAGAACTCACTGAAATATATTAAAAGTGCCACAGTATTTTGCTTCTCTCCCTCCCCTCCCCTTCCATTTTCTCTACTAACATGACAACTGTTTTTAATTTTTGTAATTTTGTCTGTATCTTTATTGGAAATGGTAATTAAAATAGCAAGATAGTGCAGTGATGAATCTTTGCTTGTCAGTTCTGGATAAGTGAGAATTCATTTTGTTTCCAAAATTAGATCAGGGCTTGCATAGTTTTTAGTGTGGTGTTTTTCATCTTGAATGTTTTACTTTTTTTTCTTTGCTATTTGATTTTAAGTTACTTTAAATAACTTATGTTTTAAAATTGTTTTTATACAGCTTTGTAACTGGCCCAGAGATCCTGTGATATAGAGCAGGTTACAAATGTTTATAATTAATTTATATATACATATATATTAAATAGTTTATATATTTCAGATTAAATAATAAATATTCACAAATATTTTAATGCATGATTTCTGAGAGTAGTTGTTGATCACTTTATTTATTTATTATTTATTTATTTAACTTATATGCCGCCCACACTACCCGAAGGTCTCTTTATGTTATCACTTTATAACTGTTTAAAACTGAATGCTGAATGGCCATTTTAACTGCTCTCTAGTTTGCAGTGGATAAACTGAAACTCTCCTAGAGGAATACATGTAGGATAATTTTCTTAATGAGGTTTTGCTGTGCTTACAGGTCCCGTCTCCCGGCCCCTGCAATCAGTGTTCCTGTTCTGCAGCTGAGGAAAAAGCCAGAGAGGCTGCTGATGCCAAGAAGACGGAAAATGGAGGGAAACCGTGTGTCCCCAAAATATTTTTTGGAACTCGGACCCACAAGCAGATCACTCAGATCACGAGAGAAATGCGGAGGACTGCCTATTCCGGAGTCCGCATGACCATTCTTTCTAGTCGGGACCACACGTGTATTCACCCAAAGGTTTCTGGTTGTGCCAGTAAGAATGAAAAATGTGTAGAGCTGCTGGAAGCGAAGAATGTAAGTTATTTCCTTCTCTCCCTCCCTTTCTCTCTCTCCCTTTCTTTCTCTCTCTCTCTCTCTCTTTTGGAGGGTGGGGTGGGATACGAAAAAGGGCAATGCTCTGTTTCCTTTCATTGATTTACGTCTAGAGTTGAGAAACAAGAGTTCAGTAAGCATGTTCAGGGGGCTATTGGTTTAAAATGTCAGATATATCCAAGTTTGATTTCTACTATGAGTGCACCTCAGTACAAAAAAAAAACTTAAAAAAAAAACAACACCCAGGGGCATTAAGAATAACGTTCAGATGGTTTGAAGTCTGTCTAGAGAGAGAGACTTGATTTTAATTAGACTTGTCTTCCTGAAGAACTAGGTGATCACAGTTCAGAGGTGCGATGTAACTTTGCACGCGAGACAGTGTTATCTCCTTTCTTTCCGTTTATCGGAAGGGATGAATGGGGAACGGCTTCTTTTCAACGGCTCAAAAGACGGGCAAAAGGTAGCTTGCGACTTTCCCACTGGAACCATGGAGCGTTTGTGTCAATATCATGGATAGTACAGCCATCTGATATGGGAACACACTCAATCCATTATTCGTGCACACCAGTTCACGGACTGTGTTTCTTTCGCATTTCTACCCATACTGTACAAACATTTTTGCTCTGCCTTTCCACCACACCCCCAAAAGGAGACCCACCAAAATCTTTTTTTTACTCCTCTATCTCTGTAACAACAACCCTGGGAGGTAGATTATCTTAAAAGAGAATTATGAGATCCAGGTTCATGGGCTCATATTTCTAATGATTCGATGGGACTACTAGACCATGGCTCTTCTAACCAGGACACCACACCCACTTTCTCTACCACAACTTACCGCTGTTGACAGAATCATCAACTGTGAAGTTTTACACCACACCCACTTTCTCTACCACAACTGTTGACAGAATCATCAACTGTGAAGTTTTGCAAGCCCCTGTTCAACTTAGTGGCCATTGTGGCATCATGTCCCTGGAGAATTCAGGGCGGATTCAAACCTTTTCCTCCCAGATGACAGCCCAGCACCCTAATCATTACAACCACACTGGCTCTACATTTTAGTACACCATATTTAACAAGGATTTCCCCTTACCTGATCCTGACATTTGTTTTTGTTTTTTTTTCCTTCCTCTCTATTCCCCACCCCCATGTACATACCTGATTTGTTTTGACCGTATCCTCACAACAACCCTGGCTGAACCTAGACTCAAAACCTTGTCTCCTCAGTCTTAGTCCAGCATTTCTGTTTCTGTTGTACGGCCAGCCTGAAGGCAGCGTCCCTTTCCTTCCTAAGCCTGAGTCTCTTCTGTGGAATGTGCCCCCAGTGCTTCACGGCCTGTTGACAACTCCCCCCCCTTTCTTTCTCTCCTCCTTTTCAAGTGATTCCGATACTTGACAAGTGCAAAGAAGGTGTTAGGTCTTTGGGCCTTTCCTCCTCCAGGCCTTGCGGCAAACTGTAGTGGTAATGAGGGGCAATTAACACGGTCACGTCAGGTGCCCTTGTTGCATCCTCCCCCAAGACCATGTTGCAAACGCTGGTTGATAAACGGATAACTGACAGCCTGTGAGTGAAGAGAGAGCAAAGTGTGATAACACTTCATCCGCCAAGCCTCCCCTTTGGGTTGTATTAAAGGCTTAACATGGACAAGTTTTTCTCCCCTTCTTATCAGCCTCTCTGTGTTGCAGAAGCCTTACAGACTTTCAGGGATGGGTTGTGCCTTTTCGTTAGCTGTTTTCGAATGTACCAAAATGTGATTTAGAAACAAATGTGCAGAGTTGGAATCCAACAAGACTCAAAAGTGCTTTGCTGGATTAGGAGATATCAACGAGAAACGAAAAACAAAAGCTGAAAGAGAGAGAAAATTATGATGCCGCAGCTAATTTAATGAGAACTGCTTTTCCACAGAATTATCTACAGGCATGGAAGTGATTTCAGCTTGTGAAACTCTTTCTCACCCTTCTATATGGTGTTTGTCTTAAACACACTAGAGAATGGAGCTCAGAAACTCTTTTTATGCAAGCCATTGCATCCGTGTTACATCCAAATGTAGAGAACTGAGGCCTTTTTTTTAGCTGGAATTATTGAACAAACCAGCAGCCTCGGTTGGTTCAATATTTGAAGATATACTTCCATATGCTGGATTTGGAGCTTCCCTCTTCTGCAGTACCACATGATGCTAAAAAACCTGCTCCGAGAGGTTTTCCTGTCTTTCCAGAGCATATTTTCAGGGCACATAGGGTGACTGTGAGAGAAAGAATTAATCCCCGATTCCGATGGAGTAAGAGGAAGCAGTATGCAACTACTACTGCGGTTTGATTCTGTCTTTTTCATCTCACTAACAAGAAAAAGTTCCTACTGGGCCTGTGTATTGGATTTCACTTGTCTTCCCAAAATGCCATTTACTAAAATTGTGTCTATGTTGAGAGTCCAACGTGGCTCATGGTGGTGTATGTTCAAATTGTGATTTTTTTTAAACACAATTTGCTTCCAGGGTGTAACTTGTTCTTACTTCCATGGAGTCCATAAGCTGAGCGAATCTCACTTCTTGCCGTCTGCCCATGAGAAGAACCAAGCTTGGGATATAGAAGATCTGGTGCGCCTGGGAAAGAAATTACGTGCCTGTCCATATTTTGCGGCTCGTTCTCTAATGGCAGAGGCAGAGATCGTATTTTGCCCTTACAACTATCTCTTGGACCCACAGATAAGAGAGAGTGTAAGTCTGCTTGCAGGCAGGGGTTTCTGCATGTCATTTTTGTATGGTTTGTTAAGGAAAGTAAGAGGGCATTCATTCATTCATTAGAAAGCCTAGTGGAGTTTTATTTTATTTTTTTATTTTATATACAGATGGAAATCAATCTGAAAGGTCAGGTGGTCATTTTAGACGAAGCTCATAACATTGAGGACTGTGCGCGGGAGTCCGCCAGTTACAGCGTGACAGAGGCACAGCTCATCCTGGCTCGAGAAGAGCTGGACACAATGGTGAACAACAACATCAGGCAGAAGGACCACGAGCCCTTGCGTGCCGTCTGCTACAGTCTGACAAAGTAAGTAAGAGAAAACTTTTGCTTTGACAGGTGGTAGTTCCATCCTCCCGTCAAAATGAACTGTGATGATGAATTTCTTGTTTGTAATTCTATTATGATGACAATTGAAGACCACCAGAAGAGAGGTGGTCAGGATTTAACAAGAGAGGAGTGCTTTTCCCCCCCTTCTTCCCACTAGAATTCCCAGAAATTCACCGCCAGCAGGGCCAGACCCAACCTCCAAAGCCCCACAGGCAGTGGCCGTGATGCTGGGGATTCTGGGACATGGTAGAAACACTGGTCTCTATATGTTCAAAAGGGTAGCTTCTCATGCATAACAGAAAGATGTTGGCAGGCTTAGGCAAACTCTACTGTTGACGTGGGGGACGTGGTGGCACTGCGGACTAAACCGCAGAAGCCTGTGCTGCAGGGTCAGAAGACCAGCAGTCGTAAAATCGAATCCACGCGTCGGAGTGAGCTCCCGTCGCTTGTCCCAGCTCCCGCCAACCTAGTGGTTCGAAAGCATGCAAATGCAAGTAGATAAATAGGGCCCACCTCGGTGGGAAGGTAACAGCGTTCCGTGTCTAAGTCGCGCTGGCCATGTGACCATGGGAGATTGTCTTTGGACAAAACGCTAGCTCTATGGCTTGGAAACGGGGATGAGCACCGCGCCCTAGAGTCGAACACAACTGGACAAAAATTGTCAAGGGGAACCTTTACCTTTACCTTACTGTTGAATGATATTTACTAACATCCTGAGAACTTTGGAGGCAAACTCCAAAGTTTTTAGGAGCAGAAAAGAAAAAGTTCTTCACCTACAAGAGACTAGACATCATCATGGCTATCCAAACTAGTTTGCAAAACTTCTAAGAAACGAGGTACAGAAAACCACTGTTTTTGTAACAGAACCCCCCAAATCGGCAGACACTTGTTTCTGTTAGTTGTGCGTGCTCAGTATGCTTTCTTGTCATCTTTTCTGTACCGTGAATGTTCATGGTTCTCCTGTGATTGAAAATGAGGAGACATTTTCCCGCTCTCTGGTGGAAAAATCTTCCATGGTGGTTCTTTTAGGGGAAAATATATGTTTTGCAACATGGGAAAGGAACGTTGTTGAAGAGTTTGAATGCCTCAAGCCTTTTAACCTTATCAGAAAAACTCAGGTTGATCTTCCTGTCAAGTCTGACAACAGCAGGGAAAGCAGGAAGCGGAAAGCAGAAGAAGAGAGAGAAAATGACCCAACGATTAAGAACATGTTGGAAATAATGTGACAGATCTCCAGTTTAGAAATCCAGTTTTACAAGAGTGCTGTTTAACATATTTTGTAAGCTTTTGCGCATATGGCCTTTTGTATCTCTAAAACTGTTTGGTGTTTCATAATTCCTCCCTTAGTTGACTCTCATTCCCCAAGTGGTTCTCAGCCTTATTTCCCAGAAATCAATGTATCACAGGCAGTGATTCCTTCTTTGATAGATACAAACTGTTTAAAGAAAAATTGAGGAAGACACACATGTTTCTAGGCATTCTGCCATTGTATTTGTCATTTATGGCAAGTTTTAACTACATTAAAAATTACAGTTCTTCATAATTTTTTTCATTTTTTCTTTTAATTTCTGTCTTGCCTTTTTCCCTGTTTAGGGGTCTCTTAGAGTCAAAGCTCCTTGTCTGGACAGCCTGTTTTTACCTGCTAAAGCAGTTTGCTAACCTCTGATGTTGTAGAGAGTCCTATGTTATCTACGTACCCATATTGGAATACAGTGGGTGCCCAAGTAGTAGTAGTGTTAGGAATAAACACATCACCCCTCCCCATTATAATTCCATTAGTAAGTCAAACTTTGTTATGAAAATCCTAATTTGATTATTTCTGTGATACATGCGCCCTTACTGAAGAACGTCTGCCCTCTTTTTCTTCAAAACTTGCATATGTTGCTAAAGAACTATTACAGGTCGCATAGCAATATTTTAAAACATTTTTCTTTGAGCAGTTAACATTCTCATTCCATATTGCCCACTGCTTTTGAAAGCATCCTTAGTCTCAAAACCACTTTGCTTTGGGAGACATATGCTGATAGTCCCCTTTGGAAGGGCAAACATGTAGGCAAACACTACATGAAATCTTAGCCCTTAAGTGGAAGTTTTCTGTGTATCTGTTGTGAAGCCATACACATCTGCATTTAGAATGAAGGTGATACACCACTGACATGATTTTTTTCAGGGTACTTTTTAATGCAAATAACAAGTTAGGAAGATTATATAGCAAAGCTTTATCCTTATCCAGGATGGGTTTTTGCATTTTTTGAAAACAGATCCTTAGTAAAGATCACTCAGCAATTGTTTAGGTCTAATAACACCTGTTGCAATACAATGGAATACTACTTTGAGTCTCATCTGCTCCTAAAATATTGCAAATAATTCTTAATTTTAAAATAGTATGTTTTGCTTTTCCAGCTCATGCGAATTGCCAAATATGGCTTACAACTAAAACATTAAAAACTGACAGCACAATCATTTTTAAAGGCCAGCATATAGATCACACGCAACACTGCGAATTAAAAAAAAATGACACTCATAGAAGTAAAAACAAAAACAAAGGGACAAAATGAGATGAAATAGGCAATTCAGAATGACTGTGATGACTGCAGTCAGATTTCCTTGGGCAGGGGCTTACCACAAAGACAACCATGCTTTACTAATTGTTTCAAACTGTGTACATAAGAGCAGTTGACTGATTTTGCCATTCCTGAGATGAAGTAAAAATGTGTGTTTATTGAACTTTGGATTCCTTCTTCCTTGGGCATTTGTTTATTTACAGCTGGTTACGAGAAACCTGTGATCAGCTCGTAGAGAGAGGTTATGAGACTGCTAATAAAGTATGGAATGGAAGGCAGATGGTGATGTTCTTCCATACGATGGGAATAACAGATGCGACTTTTCCCATCTTGCAGGTAAGAATTTGTAATGATTTTTAAAAAATCAGTATCAAGCTATAATTATTAGAAATACCATGCCAAAAACAATACAATTGAGTTTGCTGACTCAAATAACAATCCTATATATTTATATAAAAGTTTATTCGATGGACCAGTTTTGACATAACTTACTCAAATTGGGGAAATGTTCTAGTGCCCGCTGCCTAATTAAACACCCCTGCTTGGCTTCTTCTACTAGGAGAAATGGAGAAACAAACCAGGATTCCTCCAACTGTGGTTATTTGGTAACCAAACCGGGATCCTTTGCTTGTTCCTTTTGTTCTTGATTGTGGCTTGTAAAGAGCAAGAAACCTAGGAAGCAGATTCATTATTCAGTTTCTCTGAGAACTGTGGACAGACTATGCATAGTTCTTTGAGTAGTATTTTCCTAATCCATATGGCAAGGTGTTGGTGTTGGTTGTGAGGCTTCAGCATCATTTTGGCCAACTTGTGAGATTTTTGTGGCTGGCTGGAGGATTCTGGGATTTGTTGTTAAAAATAATAGCATTCTGAAGCCGTGGGTTCTAGCTCAGTTTTCTGCAGTTGAAACCATTTTAATTCATAATAATAATTTATTGTCATTGTAAGACATTCTGAAGCCGTGGATTCTAGCTCAGTTTTCTGCAGTTGAGACCATTTTAATTGCAAAAATGCCAGGGAGAGCACCGAAGCTTTACATCTAACTAATTGTGTGGGGCTGCAATTTTGAATTAATTGCAAAAATGCTAGGGAGAGCTTTACATCTAACTAATTGTGTGGGGCTCGGATTAGTTTATTGTTTGTTTCCTAGCTCATTTCTTCTGCGTTCTATAGAAACATCTTGCAGCTGTGCTTGAAAAGGAAGAAAAAGTAACACTTTTCCATGGAGGAGAACAACTCGTTTCTGTTCCAGTGATTAGTCCTCCAACTCAGATTGTCCTTAAAGGCCTATTCATGGTCCTGCAGTATCTTTTTAAAGAAAACCACAGGTCAGTGAAACTATGAATGCAATCCTTTTCACCTGAGTAATTATTTTTACCAGGCTTGTAAATCATCACATGCTTGATTCTTGGGGGTGGGGGGGAACTATCCCGCTTCCCTCCTTGTTTCCACAATAGTAAGATGTTTTCTGCTGGGTTTAGTGAGAGTTTTCACATTTATTGCAATGATTTTTGCGAACTCTAGTGGTTGCCTTGTTGTCTGGGCTTATAAGAACCAAAAGCCTTGAATGGGTTGTTTGTGTCTTTTGCTCAGTCAGCAGATCCTCATTCAGTTGCCTTGCAAAGGGAAAAGACACTCGTTATGCCAAGAGACATTTTATGAAATTGCAGAAAATGTGAGGGAGGGAAAGCACTATTTTTTTTCCATTATTGCATTAAAGCAATCTTGTTGAGGTTAGCGGAAACCTAGCAGACTGCTTCAGTGTTTCAAGGCCACCTGTGCTTTTGAGAAAGAGCAACTGAGTGAGGTTTTTTTCATGTCCCTATTATATTTGCATATTAAAGTTTTAGCTTTATTTGACTGAAGCCTTTGTGTGTTGGTTCGATTTAGGTTTGCTGATGATTACAGAGTCGCTCTGCAGCAAACATACGCTTGGACCAATGAAAATCCAGTCGATACTCCAGATGAGAGAGGTTTCTTTGCCCGATCTAAGAAAAGAGCGCGGCACAAAACGGCTGTCCATACGCTGCACTTCTGGTGTTTGAATCCCACTGTGGTAAGCCACTTGTGCCACAATAACAGCTGCGTATACTGACAATCTTAGGGCATCTGGAAGGTAGGAGGCTTGTCTGCTTTTGCAAGCAATGATGCTTTTGCTATCTGCCAGAGGAGAAAGAGAAAAAAAAGCTTTTTTATTACCTGGTGCTACCTGATTTTTAACTGGAGATGCCAGAGATCCATCCGGGAATCTTCTGTTTCCAAGGGTTTGCACATGTACCTTCTTTTTTTCTTTTAAAGAATATATATATGGTACATGTGTAAACCCTTTGGATCCCCCCCAGTCTTGCTGTTACCTCCCTGTAGTGCCATTTTACTGTCTAAGGAATAACACGTAGGTAACTGAGTGCAGGATTAATATAAAGAATTAAGGAAAACTAGAATGTGCATTTTGTCAATAACCTTTCTCTCTAGGCCTTCTCCGACTTGAGTGGCCATGTCAGATCAATTGTCTTGACTTCTGGAACGCTTTCCCCCATGGACTCTTTTTCTTCTGAGCTTGGTGTAAAGTTTTCCATTCAGCTTGAAGCCAACCATGTCATAAGGAAATCACAGGTATGCTTTTCTCATATGGCACCAAATTTAGATCAGTTGTAGGTAAGCTATGGAGGTGGAATATCTATGTTTTCTGGGGATAAATTTATACAGCGTATTTATACTATGAGCACAAGGAAGGTGAAAAAAGTGTAATGTTTTTGTGTGTAAGAAAATAATATAGTCAGGAAATAGACATGTTTAAATTTTAATTTTTCAAACTCTTATAATCATTATGTAAAGAGAAAAGACGACAACAAAAAATAGCTAAATCACAACAGATATAAATCCCAGTGCATTTGTGGAACTCATATTTCTGATATCGGCTTGTGATGTTATATCAGTGAATAAAAACACTAATCGCTCTTCTTCCACCACCAATTTTAGTAACGAGTCTGACAGCCTAGCTGCTTGCCCCAGGTGAGCACATGGCGAGCTGTTCAGGAAGCTACCGTGCATCAGAAATACTGTGACTTAATTCTTTATTTTAAAATAAAAAGTCTGGTAATCTGGGACGTGGTGGCGCTGCGGGTTAAACTGCAGAAGCCTCTGTGCTGCAAGGTCAAAAGACCAGCCATCGTATGATCAAATCCACGTGACGGAGTGAGCTCCTGTCACTTGTCCCAGCTCCTGCCAACCTAGCTGTTCGAAAGCATGTAAAAGTGCAAGGAGATAAATAGGTACCACTTGGGTGGGAAGGCCACAGCGTTCCGTGTCTAGTCGCGCTGGCCATGTGACCACAGAAACTCTTCGGACAAACACTGGCTCTACGGCTTGGAGACAGGGATGAGTTCCGCGCCCTAGAGTTGGACATGACTGGACTAAATGTCAAGGGGAACCTTGATCTTAACCTAATCCATTTTACCATATTAGTTTTGTCTTAATTCCCTAACCCTCCCTCCACCATCCTTGCCCTTCTCTTCTTTCCTGCTATTGTGTTCTTGAATAGATTGGATTGCCAATGTTAGCAGATGAATGTTTTCCCAACAGGTATGGGTTGGTACTGTCGGAGCCGGCCCTAAAGGCAGGTCATTATGTGCGACCTTCCAGCACACAGAAACCTATGAATTCCAGGATGAAGTGGGCGAGCTTTTGCTGTCAATTTGTCAGACCATCGGCCAAGGGGTGTTGTGCTTTTTGCCGTCTTACAAGGTAAAGAAATATTCACCTTCACAGGTCTTCTTCTCTTCCATTTCAAGCTCTTCGGAGGTTGGATTGTTTATTCCTGATGGTGGGGTGCCCCACGTTCCTGTGGATCAAAGATATTGTGGCCCACTTGTCAGAGATCTGTCTATGTAGACTTCATTGCTTCAGAGTCAAGTCGATTATTCCTTATTGATTTTCAGGGCTCTTCTGATGGCACAGCATTTTACTCTGTGAGGTTACACACACTTTAACACAAAGCAGGTTTGGGCTGGTTGTTTCAAATGTGTGCTTACTTAGAGCACAACCCTAGTTTAAAAAACAGCCCTCATAAATGCCAACTCATATGCGTGAAACATACAAACTTTCCTTTATATTGCATTAGACTGTGGGTCCATTGAGCCTAGTTTTAGCTGCTGCTTCTAATAGCAACTTTCCAGATTCTTAGACAACTAGAGATGCCTCTGATTGAACCGATGATCCTTTGCCCAGCGTGTTTGCTCTCCTGCTGAACATACAGTATTTGCTGTCTTTTTGTTGTTGTTGTTGTTTTTGTAGTTGGTCTTTTATAACTCTGTTAGAAAATGGGCAACTTGTTTTCTAAGAATTTGGCCCTTGGTCACATGGTGGGTTTCATGGCCAAGGTGGGAATTTGAACCCAGGTCTCCTGAGTCCTAATTTAACCCTCTGACTTGCTTTCCTTTCTATTGACCCAACTTTATTCTTAGACTTTGAAGGGAGAGCTAAATTTCAACAGCTAAATGCCAGCAGCCATCTCTGCTTTTTCTTTAAAAAAAATACTGGGGGAGTCCAGCCACTAACGTTGTAAGGAAATTCTTCAAATTTGAGAATTGTCAGCTTACAGGGATAACATTTTAAGATCTAAGCACCATGTATAACATTGGTGCTCTAAAAGGATTAAAGGTCATTCATTACCTGATAACTGTGTTTGACATTTGATATTGATTGAGTGCTATTAGGTTTGGGCTTTTCTGAGAGCATGCAGCTCTTTTGCTTTCTTCCGAGGAAGGATTAAAGCCTGAAATGAAGAACATAAGGGTCTCCCAGTGACTGTTGAGGGGCACCTCCCATCTTCCCTAGCAGTTAGCCTGTCTGGCTGGGACACATGGGGTTGGCAGACCAATAATCTCAAATAATACTGTCATGATTCTCTCAAGTTGTAAGAATTAATTCTGCCAGGCTGTTTCATACCTGGCATATCACATAGTTCTTCTGGTGGGAAGGGCTTGGCGATATTCGAGGCCTCCTTCTTCATGATTCCAAATCCCCTTTGGTTCCACCAGATCTACATAGAAGCAAAGCACATTATCAGTCAACATGGTCATAACATCCAGGATACAACCCTTTGACTTGATTTCAGTTTGGTTTATCCCTGTGGCAGAGCAGAGAGAAATGTCTTAGGGCAGTGGTTCCAATCCTTGGGTCACCTGGATGTTCTTGGACTGCCACTCCCAGAAGCTTTCACCCCTTGCAGTGCTGGCCAAGATTTCTGGGAATTGTAGTCCAAGAACATCTGGGGACCCAAGGTTTGGAACCACTGGGTTAGTGGACAACAATTTTCCCTGCACTTGCCGGTTTGTGGCCATGTTCCTCTTTTGTATAATTCTAGAAGGGGGGGTATAAAGGTGTTTTCCAGACTTTGTGGAAATTCATAAAAGAGGAAGTCAAGAGTCCCGCCTGGTTTTTGTATTATTCTGCTCTAATCTTCCTTATGTCAAGCGATGACTTGTCTTACTTTTACTTGCTCTCCCGGGAAAACTGTAGTAAAAGGCCCTTGCAGTTGCAGAAAATGACCATTAGGTGACCACATTGGACTGTAGAATCAAGAAACGGGAGAAAAGATGAGGATCCTGTGGACTTCCTTGAAAGGTTTCAAATCTGTGGGTGCAGACTTGACTTTTAAGGGTAGCACACCTGACCAAGTAACTTGTATTGACCTTGTACCTCTGAATCGATTTGTTTGTTTCTCTGTGTGTGTGTGTTTTCGTTCGTACAAATCAGTTTAAATTTCTAGGATGAAATATCGACAACAACAGAGATGGGAAAATAAGGGGGTCTGGGTTGTTGTTTTTACAATTCTTGGACTTTTCCAGCAACATAACCCCTGGAAAACTCTGAGAGTTGTGAGTTAAAGAGCAATCTGTTCCCATTTCTGTATAACAGCAGTAATGATGATAACGACAGCAACAATTAAAAAAAGATATGGGCTGGGTTGCCAAGTGGGTGGTGCCCACATCAATACCAGGTTGCCATTGTGTGGCATTTCTGCCCCTTCTGTGTAGTAGCACAACTCTTAAGTGATTGCCGTATGTGGCCGAGAGGCGTCTTTTTGCTGACAGGCAGCAGCTCCTTGTTAATTCTCTCCCAGCAATGTACGCTGGTATTGCGATGCAGATATTCTTTTTCCCTTGCATGGAACAAAATCAACATCTGGTTTTCTTCCTGCCTCTCCAGGTCTTTTCCCCTTCCTGTGCCTCCCCCTCCCCTTACAACTTTCAAAGTCAATTTGAGCCATTATTGGACCAAGAGGCAAAGTGACAGCTAGGAAATCTTGTTCCATCCACCAGAGAGAACGTCTCTGGGCCAGGTCTTGAGTGATTCCACGGCACCTCCCCCTGCGAGCGAAGGGGGGGGAAAAGAGCCACTCAAGTGCCACTCCCGCTTATGCCTAGGAGGGCCCAGGGGTGCATCAGGAACCCCTCCAGAGCTGTGGTATCAAAGGCTGCCGAGAGGTCTGAAGCAACATACCGCTCCTCCTGGGGTTGGCTTCTCAACACAGATGATGATTGTACCGAGCACTTTGCGTCTCAAAGCCCATCTCAGAAAGAACTGCATTTGGAGCCCGCGTGTTGGGTCATCTCTGTGAGGCCACCTCTTCATCGGCTTTCTCTTTCCAAACATCTCCAAGAGCAAGTTTCTTCCAAAAAAGCTCTCAGGACATGCTCCGAAGGGCTTTGGATCTAGAGAGTCCCTCTTCTTCTGTCTGGAAGGATGCAGGAAAGGCAGGAACTGACTCTTGCCTGAATTCCTGCTGTAGTTTATTTTCCTCCCTTTGAAATCAGCGGTCTGGAAGAGTGTGTATGTTCTTGCATTGTGCTTGGATTGTCAGCGCTGTGCCGGCTTTGTGGTGCCACCTGTTCCGCATCTTTCTCTTAAACGTATCTCAGAAATATTGTCTAACAATCCAGTGCAGTCAACCGTTCTGCAAGGAGGAGTCTATTCACCCTTGCTTCACCTTTTCCAGCCTCACGGGGCTATTCTGCTCGAGATCTGAGCTGAGGTCACTCTTCTGCCTCAAAGCTCCCAACTAATGCCGGACTGGCCACTATTGACCACTGATCCCGTTTGTGGAGGGATTGTGAGGATAAGAAGCAGCTTTTACAAACTGTCTCAAAATTCATTGAGTGGAGAGGGTCCCATCCTAGCATACGTAGTCCTTAAGTAATCACTGATGTGCTGGTTATGTCCTATCATGGGTCGGGATTGTCTCCAGACAACTATGGTAGGGAGTTATGGGAAACAGCAAGAGAAATGGAGTTTCCGCCTATTGAACCTGCTACTGTGATATATCAGTGCACAGGCTGGATTAAACTAGGTGTGTTGTTATTTTGCATATAGAGGAGGCACACAGAGCAAGTTTGTTTTTTTTAAAGGGAGAAGGTAAGAGGACTCCAGGGTTAATACCTCATTCCTCTCCTTCTGCTCTTGTGTGGTAAACAGACTGTTTATTTCTCGGTCATCTGGCTTTGCAACACTAGCTCAGTAATATGCATTTCCAAAATTCACCCATGTCTAGCATTTAGCTGGAGAGCACGAAAAGACTGTACAATATGTGTCTGGCCCCAAGTGTGAGGAAAACCCATTTGTTATGGCAATAGCAATAAATAATATGTCTTGAAATAGTGCTTTCACATTTTTACAAATGCACATATTTCTCTCCCTCCCCCATTCACATACAAAAGGGCGACCACAGATGGCACTTTTCCCAATTTAAATTACGCCACACCATAGAACACCTTTTTAATAACACTTTACCTCAAACATCCTTTAAAACAGCCTGCTCTGTTCTGGATGTGAACATTAATTCCCCCCTGTTTGAACATTTGTGGTGAGATAGAGATTCAGAAGGTCGAATCCATTATAGTGAGTGGGGTGTGTAGGTAGGACTGATGTTAGCAATAAAACACTTATGGTAAAATCAGTAGCTCCCTTGGCAAGCGTACCCTATAAAGAAAAGTAAAAAGATCGCTCCGGAGGTGAAGGTGCTTTTAAAGAAGATTAAGATAAGGATCATTAGGATGCGTGTCGCCAACTGGTTGGCATTTAAATGCATCCTGCCTGGTGTCTGTATCTTGGAATGATTCATTCAATATGTGCCATATCAAAGTCAAAGCCACACAGTGAGGAGAAAAGCGCTTATAAACTTTCAGGGATGATTCATCATACTTATAGATCTGAACTTTCCTCGGCGGATGGTCGTGATGTGGCAGAGTCTTTAGATGTTGTTCATATTCTTTCTGTCATTCAGAGATTCTCAAGCCGTTCTTGATTATCACCATTCCTGCTTGAATTTTGATTTGGGCCAAATCCAAAACAGACTGAATGAGACAGGAAGCATTTCTCTGCCTTATCTTATATGCACGAGAAAGGGAGTGGCAACTTTATTTCCTAGCTAACAATTTGTTGTGTCACGTCAAAGATGGCGCCAGATTGCCACTGTGGGGTTCAGGAGGAAATCGTGAGCAAAGGGGAGTAGACATGACAAGGAGCTTGCGGGGGTGGGACAGGTTCAGAACCCCATGCCCCCGGAGGTTTGTGCAACATTCAGTAGCTCTTTAAAACAGGTTTGAGGATTTAAATTAGGAAGAGATGCCTCCTGAGCATTAAGAGCTAAATCTTCTAGTTGTTTCCCCCTACAGTAGAGCTATCAAATGAATATTTGATCTGTTCCTATGTGATCTCCCTCTTTGATCTGTTTCAGTGTGGGGTTGTTTTTTAATTACATTTCCCAGTTTTTTTCCAGTGTGGCCTGTAGCTATGCTTGCTAGAAAACTTTGGGAGCTATTGCCAACAAGATAGCTTTTTTAAAACGTTATTTGCACACACACACACAGAGACACACTTTTAATTATGGTCATATACATATTTCCAATATTTGGAAGTTAGGAATTAGAAAATAATAATTTGAAATGTCTTTTTTCAGAGGGAGAATAGAAGGAAGCACAGCATTCAAATGTCAATAAGCCACTTAGGCCCAGATTCAGTGATTTTATTTATTTATTTATTTATTGTACTTATATACCGCCCCATAGCGCTACAAGCACTCTCCGGGCGGTTTACAATTTTTAATTATACAGGCTACACATTGCCCCCCCCAGCAAGCTGGGTACTCATTTTACCGACCTCGGAAGGATGGAAGGCTGAGTCAACCTTGAGCCGGCTACCTGGGATTTGAACCCCAGGTCGTGAGCACAGTTTTTAGCTGCAGTACAGCGTTTTAACCACTGTGCCACTGTGATGTATCTCCTGGATCCTCCTGCTTCCCCTGGAGTTGCTGATCCTTGCTCTTTCCTTGCAGTTCTGATAGTGTTGGATGCAGCCATATACCGTTGCATCTTGGGTCTTAGAAAAGGTACATCTGCTTTCTCATAGGATCTGCTTGAACTTCTTTCCAAAATCAGCGAAATTGTGTTGTTTTTTTTAAAATAAAAACTTCATCAAAGTAAATGAACTAAAATTACTATACAACTACATTTTTTGCAAAGTTCAGGGAAAAGAAAAAACCAATAAACGTTAACTTCTTTAAGAACACTGCCAGTTTAATACTTAAATTACACTGATCTCATGGCTCTGTTTTGCACTGATCTCACTAAGCTAAATATGGCTTTTGTTACTGGTATAAGAGAAGATGGGGCCAGGTTTTTTTTTTTTTATGATGCAGACAGATACATTAATCTGAAATACTGTCTTCAGTAAACAATATCAGTTACAAGAAAGGAGCCTCCTCAATGTGACAACTGTGGACACATTCAGGCATCTTTGGGCAATGGGAATAAATAAATAGAATAAAGGGGTGGTAATGGAGCAATAATCACAGGACCCATTAAATTACAGTACTTTATCCACCCCTACCTACGCTTCACTGCATTTCAAGATATGTGCCCAAAATCTACATCTAAATTTGAGCAAGGGTGTTTCCGCAAGCCTTGGAAGGGAGAGCTAGAAAAACAGGCAAGATGACAGAGATTCTGTGTGGTCATTGTAAGCAACGATCCGCAGATCCTTGAGCTTATTGCTCCCATTAACAGCAGTGGGGAGCATGTGAGGGGGTCCGTCCTGTCTTCATGGGTTGATGAAATAACTGGTGCTGAGTCTGGGACCGATGTCTTCGTTCCTTCCTGTTCCCATTGTGCCAGAGGGGGGGCATCATTACGGCTGTTCTCTCCTGGGGTTGTAGCACTTCTGGTAAGTTACGGTATTTTTTGCTCCATAAGAAGCACCTTTCCATAAGACGCACCAATTTTTTAGGAGAAGAAAACAGGAAAATATAATCTGTTTTCTTCGCTCCATAAGACGCACAGACTTTCCACCCCCTGTTTGTGGGGGAAAAGTGCATCTTATGGTGCGAAAAATACGGTACGTGCTCATTTCGGGTTATAATATGAACATTATTGCCTTTCATTCTGCCTTATCCTCCTCGGTTGCTGAAAGCCAGCTCAAGATTTAATTTTTTAAAAAGGAAGAAATCATCAAACATCTTGCAGCACTTTGGATCTTCCACCAGCTCAGACTTTGGAGAGTCTCCTGGGGAAGAGAATTCCAAGACCTTCCCACCAAGAATACCTTTTCTGTTACATTCTCAAATGAACAGGATAGGTATTCCAGCCTATGGCTGTATTAGGCTCACGGAAGTAATAGTGAAACAGGCAGCTGGGAAATGTGAGGAGAAGAAGTCTCCTCGGTCCAGGCATTTTGCACACCTTTCAAAAGAGAAAGAGAGAGCGAGCACGTCTTGCTTTGTACTTCCAACCACTGCAAATCTTAATTCGGAGAAAGTGCATTTTTCTCAACTACGTTCTTGGGCCCATCGTGAGTTTTCCACTAGGATGGAAACGAGTCTCCTTGTAAGATGCCAAAATTAACTTTCTCATAGTGTGGTTTTTATGTAAACATTTCCTGAAACTATCTTTTTGCATCTGCTGCTAAGTTCCCGGCGGTGGTGGTTGGGGGGGGGGAAGCCTACTTTTCACTTCTTATGAACACACACATACACACACACAAGCAAAAACGCAGTCCTTTCTTTCCTCTCATTTTCTTCAATTCTGTGTCTTTTACTACCCCTTCAAAATATCACAGAAATTTGATTCATTCATCCATTCACTCAGCTTATATACCATGGGATATATCCGTCTATCCATCTATCCATTCACTCATTTATTCAACTTAAGTACCACGGGATATTTATTTATTTAACTTATATGCCACCCCACCCCACAATGCAATGTACTCCCTCAGTTTCAAATTGTAGTCTACTGCCTTGCTCAAGTATTAAACACTTCAGTTGGCCTTCGGAAAATACTAATGTTCTCTGGTGCCATTCAGTGCTTTTTAAACTAGGTCTTCAGTTTTAAAAATCCTTTTCTCCTATTGCATTCATGTTTATCTCACTGTTCTGCGGCCTCATTTTGTTTCCACCCAGAGAACTTCCTATTATAGGGCAGCTATATAGAGTAATAAATAAATACATGCAGCATCAGTCTGCTACAGCTGGGCCATCCCAACCATGAATAAGGTTTAACCATTAGGAGTATCTAACACTTGTCAAATGGAGACTTAATCTTTTACTAGCGTTTGTATGAATACATTAGAAACATTGCTGAGCTACTGAAATGTACAGGGATGCATTGGCAAACACACTGAAGAGGCGCCAACTCCTAATTCTTGTTTTTGAAGTTGCTTTTATAAAGCAGTAGGTCTCTTCCAAAACTCCTTTCAGGATTCAAGGGGTCCTTGGTTTACCTTGCAGAACCATCAACCTGAGCATGTGTGTGTG